ATCGTGGTATGAGAAATTCAGTCAAGTACTTCATGACTGTGGACTAAAAAAACTTAAATCTGATCCTTGCCTATTTAAATGGAAGAATGAAGACAAATACTTCTATGTAGGGATATATGTTGATGACTTTATCACTGTCTCAGATTCTGAAGATACCTCAAACAGATTCATCAATAAATTGAGACATCACCTGGAAATAAAGGATGTAACATGTAAAGGCATGTTTTTGGGAATCAAGATCATACAAGACAAGGAGGGAATTTCGCTACAGCAAAGCCACTATGTACAACAAATATTGCAGAAATATGGAATGGAAACTTGTAAGGAAGTTCCAACACCAGGTTCCAAAGAAATCAATTTGGACAATCATATTGAAGATGACAATTGTGATCAGCACACTTACCAAGAAGCCCTTGGAATGCTAATGTTTCTAGCTGTTAACACCAGACCCGACATCGCTTACATCACTAGCAAACTTTCACAGTACTCCAGACAACCAAAACAGATGCACTGGACAGCAATCAAAAGAGTGATGAGATACCTACGAGGAACAATTGACCTAGGAGTGAAATTTGAAAGAGGGAAGACTGGAATCCTGAAGTCCTACACCGATGCCAGCTGGTCGACCACTCATGATGGAAAATCCTACGGCGGATATGTATTGAAGCTCGGCGAAGCAACTATAGACTGGAAAAGTAGTAAACAACCACTCGTCGCCCTCTCCACAATGGAAGCGGAAATGATAGCTGCTTGTGAAAGCTGCTGTCAAATCAAGTGGATAATAAACCTGTTACGAGAGCTGGAAGAATGGAATTTCATGGAAAAACCAACTGCGATCTATACAGACAGTCAGTCATTGATCAACTGGATCTCCAGCCCTAAACAAAGCAGTCGCTGTAGACATATCAACAGAAAGTACCACTTCTTGAGAGACTGTTTTGAATCCAGAGACATCTGCCTTCTGTACAAGCCATCTCAGGACCTGGAGGCGGATATCTTCACAAAGGACCTATCCCGAGACCAGATGAAGAAACACCTGGAGAACCTCAGCATCGTGGGAATAAAGCCAAAGTAAGGAGGGAATTGTTACGCAAACTTTGACTTTAATCATCATAGATGCTGACGTCACTACGATGACGTAACTTCCAACAACTACCTTCAACCTTGCTGATGTTTACCGCTAACTTGTTTTAACAATATATGTAATGGAACAAGTCGTTCCTTAAATAAATATATATTTGTTTTTATCTAAAGGGATGTCCTCGTAACTACAACATACGTGAGTACAAAAACAACCAGAAATCCTCAAAAAGAATAACCGTATTTTGCTAAGCCTATATCAGAAAGTCATTTTTACTAGTTGGAATCTATTTGTATAGTAGTGTGAAATTCGATTTATATATATCGAAATATATTCGTTATAAAAAAATAAATATAATAGTTTTCATATCTCTCTCTCTCTTTAATTTATTAGTACTTCTATATTTATAAATCTAAAGATAATAAATATAATTGTTTTATATGGAATTTATTACAGGATAAGCCTTTAAAATGGAACTATTTTGGAAGTTTATACTTTTCGTAATATTTTCAAATAAATATTAAAAGTTTATATTGCAATTTATAAAAATGTAATAAAAATTATGTAAGATATTTTGTAGGCTTTAAATGTTTTGAAAATTTATTTTGTGTTAAAATTATCCTCGTTAATGATCAATTTTAAAAGTAATAAATATATATGTATATATAGACAAAAAGTCATACCTTTTTCTTCGTCATATTTTCTTGTCAGAAATATCAATTTATGATTATTTATATTAACAAAATTTTGATTAGCATAAATTGTTTTTTTTTTCAATTAAAAAGTAATATATTGGATCAAAATATCATTTATTTTACCAATATTTCAGTTGGCTGAACGCCAACCTTTATCAAGGTATTATAACATATCAATCAATAAAAAAAAGTCAATCAAAAAAAATAAATTGATTTATAAATTATTCGATCAAAATGCTTCAATATATTCTTGTGTTTTAGAATAAATAAAATTTAGAAGAAATAAAAAGTAGAAATATTTGAAATTCGGCGAAAAAAAAAAATCCAAATAAAATTGCTAGGTATGAATATTGCCCGACAACAATTTAAACAAAATGGCGGGCGTGAGATGAGCAGCAGCCGATCATCAGTAATAACGCCATCAGAAGGTTCTCACGGACGACAGGCGCCATATTGAACTGCTCATCACCCCACAAAGGCATCTAATTGGCAGAGGAAAGTGAAATTAAAACCGCCTGGTCACGCTCGTGCAGGTTCGTCTGGGAACGTCCCGCCGCTTGATTCACCATCGTCTGCATGGCTTTTATCGTCTGCTCCCCCTTGCTAAGTTAATCATATCATCCATTCATGATTGTCCACATTGTTGTAACTACTCTGTTGGAAGTCTTTCTCAATACTACGTCTTTTTTTCTCTCTATATATATATTTTTTGCTATCTTTGAAATGTTTTTTATATTTATAAAAATCTGCTTTAAAATATATATTTTATTATACGCTTTGATCGATATTCATTCAGAGGAACATTGCTTTATATATTTTATAATTATAAATAATTTTATCAAAGTAATTATAGGCATTTATTTAATGAGAAAAACTGAAACACTGAAATGCAATTATTTTTCTATTATCAGTTAGTTTTTTTTTTTTAACTTTGAGGTTTAATAACTCTTCCCTTTTAGTCGCGATATAATATTAATAAAAAAAAAAAGATAATATAAAAAAATAAATAAAAAGGTAGATTACACGAATTTATTATAAATTATTTTATAATAATGTTTGACAACACATATAAACTCATAGACAAAACTTAAGAAAGTATCATATTTTTGAACATAAATCACTCATTTGTTTATATAACGGTGAAATTCTCCCCATACATGTAAATTCGAACGTTCTCTTTAAAAAAAAAAAGTGATAAAAAATTGAATAATAAAAATTAAAATGATACACATGATAAAAAGTATAGCTTCCTTAGTTTCCACAAAGTTTTTTTTTTTTTTGCTTATCCCTAGTACACGTGGTACAGGCCATGATAATCATGGTGGGTAGAATTAGGCGACTGCTTTTACTGTAAGTGCACCACATGTATACACATGTGAAAAGCAGTTGGGTTAGACTTTTGCAAGAATCGGGGGCCATTGGAGCATTTTTTTTTAACATAAAAAAGTGCCCAATGCGGGAATCGAACCCGGGTCGTAGCGGTCGAAAACCAACGGTTTAGACCATCCTTCCACCGACCCCCTTCCACAAAGTAATTCTACTAGATTTCCTCTTACATCATTTTGAAATGAAATCTCTGATTACCTAAATACAAGCAGGCAGAGGCGAACCACTGGCTACGAAGACAGGACACGGCTTGGTACAACAGTGGTATCAAAAAATTGCTACAACGGTACCAAAAATGTTTGAACAGAAATGGTGATTATGTAGAGAAGTAGTCTATGAGTTGTATAATGTAAATAAATACCTGCATAATTGTAAATAATGTTGTTTATTTGTTAAAAAATAGGGAAACATATTTATTGGATGGCCCTCGTAATTACGGTATAAGTTTAAGCTTATTGGAGAGTGCCAATAAGCAAACTAAAGAAATTTGAAAGTGCAAAATGTTTTAATATATGAATAAATACAATATACACTTCATTAGAGGAGAAACAAAATAAGCATTTAATATTGGAATATTTATTAATAATAACTTAAAAAAAAAAAACTAGAAAATAAACTCAGTGAAATGTTTATGAATTTTTTTGTCATTTTTCTTTTTATAAATAAAAATATATATATCCTTGCTCTTCTGTATAAATACAGATAAATATATAAATAAGTAGTATGCAAATATTGTTGTTTGATTGACATACATTGTAGAATATTTTCCTAATAAAAGGAGGTTTTTTTTATTATCCCTAGTACACGTGGTGCAGGCCATGATAATCATGGTGGGTAGAAATAGGCGACTGTTTTTACTGTAAGTGCATCACATATCTACACATTTGAAAAGCAGTTCGACTTTGCACTTAAAAATGAGTCAGATTTCCGTTTGTTTACTAGCACTCGCTGGTGGGGTTGGAATTTAGAAAGAATCAATTAAAGAAGAATAAATGTAAAGGAATATTGAAGATGTGAGATATTGTTTTCAAAATTCGAAACTATTTTAAAGGCGTAATATTCTTTTTGAAATTAAACAATTTCTACTGCCCTTACTGTAATAGAAAAATTAATGGGAGGGCCCCTGGCTCATCAGTGGTGAACCTTGCCAGCGGTTTCGCCAGTTTAATATACCATATTAACTATATTTTTCCATTGCAGTAAGGGCAGTATAAATTGTTTAATTTCAAAAAGAATCTTACGCCTTTAAAATAGTTTCGAATTTTGATAACAGATGGCGCGCTAGTGCATCAAGATATTGTTTTCTTGCCACGTTTCAAACAAATTTCTGCCATCTATTTGAAGATTTTATATATTGAGATGGATTGACCCATCAGAGACGGTCCCTCTAAGTTGAAAGATTGAAAGAAATGTTGTTATGCATTGTAAATATTCATTAATTAAATTTTATATTTACTCACATTCTTAGTCCCATGTTCGTCGCTTAAAAGAATCTTATTTCATTTAAAAATAAAAAATATATTTTAAAAAAATTAAAACACATTTATTTATTATTCAACGTATTGTTTGTTTTTATAAAAGAAACAACAAAAAATTGACAAAAAAAAAGAATACAAAATAATCAATGAATATTCACAATACATAGCATGTGTTTTAATATAATTTCAGTTAGTTAATTATAGATATGTAAAACGACATTTTAAAACTAACCTGCATGTGTTTCTTTTCAACGAAAAATCCAAATTTATTTCAAGGAGAAATAATGATTATTTCTAACCTTTGGGATGAAGTATGAAAGAATGAATTGTGAAGAGTAATGATAAACGGAAAAATAAAAGTGTCCAGGAATGGGAATCGAACCCACAGTGTTCTGCTTACCGGGCAGATGCCATGTCCATGAGGGTTCAATTCCCATCTCTGGACACTTTTATTTTTCCGTTTATCATTACTCTTCACAATTGATCCTTTCATACCTCATCCCAAAGGTTAGAAATAATCATTATTTCTCCTTGAAATAAATTTGGATTTTTCGTTGAAAAGAAACACATGCGGGATAATTTTAAAATGTCGTTTTACAATCACAAGCCGTATTATATTGTATTGTAATTATAGATATCTTATGTGAAATATTCCATGAATTCTCTAGAAATTATCTTAACATCATACCTTGATGCACCATCTGTTATGAGAAATTTAAAATAATTTAGACGCGTGTGTATGATTCTTTTTAAATTTAAACAAACACACAAATTTCAACTGCCCTTGCTGAAATGATAAATTAATGGGAGGGTTCACTATTGATGAGCCAGGCCTTCCCATTAATTTACCATTATAGTATGATATTGTTATAAAATAAAGCTTCCAGGGCTAAGTTTCTTGTTCAAATTTTATTCTCTAGCTTTCGGACCTGTCAGTCCTTCCACAGGAGTATCACGATAATAAATTGATGGTATATATACTATTTTTATATAAAATAATTTTTGCATATTTAATTTTATATTATAAAGGACTGCGGCGTGTGATTATAAACAATACTTAAAGTTATACCGCATAAGTTTCTTTTCTATGAAAAATCAATATTTATTTTAAAGAGAAATATTTACTATTTCTAACTTTTTTGAATGAAGTATGAGAGGGTAAAAATATGAAGAGTAATGGCGAACGGGAAAAAAGGGTAGCCTAGTGGACATAGCACCTGCCCGGTAAGCAGAAGGTTGTGGGTTCGATTCCCGCCCCTGGTCACTTTTATTTTTCCCGTTCGCCATTACTCTTCATATTTTCACCCTCTCATACTTCATTCAAAAAAGTTAGAAATAGTAAATATTTCTCTTAAAAATAAATATTGATTTTTCATAGAAAAGAAACTTATGCGGTATAACTTTAAGTATTGTTTATATTTAATTTTATAAAGTTTTAATTTAGCAAAAGAGATAATAATAATAGATAGAATATTTACATATTAGATTACATAATAGAATGTTTACATATTTAACTATTAATGATATTGAAAGGCGGAGAAAATATATATTACCTTCTTTGTGTATTTTAAACAATTTTTGTAATCACACATATGTGCATGGGTGGAGGCCATGCGCTGGTCGAATGATATTGTACAGTGACGGCCGTATGTGGCTGTGCGTTGTCATGATGCAAGAGTCAATTTTTCTAATGCCATTTTTCGGGTCGTTTCTGACGTAGAGCCTCCCTTAAACGTCTCAATACATCAAGATAGTAATGTTGATTAATGGTCTGACCCTCGGGCACGAATTCATAGTGCACCAATCCCTTTACATCAAAGAAGGTGATAAGAAGGCATATAAGAATTTGAAAGTAATTTAGACGCGTATGATTCTTTTAAAATTAAACAAACACACAATTTTCAACTATCCTTTATTTATTTATTTAACAGTTGGGAGAGACACGCCATATCCACAATTTGGATAATTGCGTGTATATTTTAAATTATATACAATTAATACAATTGAACTTTGGAAATCATTAAAATTAAACGTTCAATGTCAAATTTTACATATAGCAATTATAAGTAGTAGTTTGAAATATGTACAGTCAACGCTTTCGCCTCAAAATATACATCCTGCAGAATCTATTAAACTTGATGTATTGGTCTTTATTGCAAGCAGCTTGTTTTGTATTAGTCAGGTAAAGTTGGTTTTCTTCCCTTAGATCAGAAGTTAATGGACAGTCTATCAGAAGATGTTCAGGGGTTTGTTGTTCGTTTCCACAAGTGCATGCAGGTGAACCAATTTTGCCAATTCTAAACAAATATGTGTTGAAGTCACCATGTCCAGTAAAAAATTGAACGTTATAGAAGTTGGGTTGAACATAGTTAGGAATTCTTGAAGTATCAAAGAATCCCTTGAAATTATCAGTGGCACCTCCATAGTATTCCTCAAATTTCTGGTTTATAAAATTAGATATCATTTTTCTTTTAGTTGGAAATGATGCATTAATGCTGAAATGATGTTGCTGAAATGATGAATTAATGGGAGGATTCACCACTGATGAGCCAGGCCCCTTCCCATTAATTTATCATTATAGTAAAGACAGTAGAAATAGAGTTTAATTTTAAAAAGAATCATACGCGTCTAAAATAAGTTTTATTTTATTATAAGTATCTTAATATAGAATATATCTGTAATTTTATTTTTATATTAGAAAACCTTCTTATATAATATCTTTTATTTTGAAAATAGAGTAATCCATAGATAAATCTTTAATTAAAAAGGTATATATTGGATCAAAATATCATTTATTTTACCTATATATCAGTTGGCTGAACGCCAACCTTTATCAAGGTATTATAACATTTTAAAGTGTGTCAACAACAAACTCAGCGCCACATAACGTCAACAGCATTAAGTTTTTAAAAAATATTTTGTTATATTCAATGGGGAGAAAAAAATTGATATATATATGATGGCGCTCTGCCTTCTGTAAAGCACATGTGCTCCTGGTCAGGATATGCCATTTTTAATATATATATTTATATTATGGAAAAAATATTATATATAGATATATATAAATATATATATCAAATTTTTTCTCCCCATTGAATATAACAAAATATTTTTAAAAACTTAATGCTGTTGACGTTATGTGGCGCTGAGTTTGTTGTTGACACACTTTAAAATGTTATAACACCTTGATAAAGGTTGGCGTTCAGCCAACTGAAATATTGGTAAAATAAATGATATTTTGATCCAATATATTTCTTTTTAATTAAATATATTTCATGTAATGGAGAAATATTTGGAAGGGCCTGGCTCATTAATGAGAAATCGTTCCAGCAGTTTATCTTGTTCAATCGACCAGACTTCTCAAGAATTGAATTGGGCTTCTCTTCTCTACTTATTCATTTACCAAGAATCCTATTAAGGTGAGGCAATATAGGTTAGAAAATACAACTTCTACAATATTACAGCGGTGGATTGGACAAGCTGGAATGGTTCACCATTCAGAAGCCAAGCACTTCCAATAATTTTTCCATCATCAGAAAGGACTGTAAAAAGTTGACTCATTTTGTAAAATAAAATCCTCACTAAATAGTCCCAAATGTTATTTATGTTAGAAATGTAATGAAGAATATATTTTGGGGGTCGTTGGAAGGATGGTCTAAACCGTTGGTTTTCAACTGCTACGACCCGGGTTCGATTCCCGCATTGTGCACTTTTTTTCTTATTTAAAAATCAAAATGCTCCAATGCCACCCGCTTCTTGCAAAAGTCTAACCCCACCAGCGAGTGCAAATAACCAAAACGAGGCTTTGGTACATTTGTAAGTGCAAAGTCGAACTGCTTTTCACATGTGTAGACATGTGGTGCACTTACAGTAAAAGCAGTCGCTTACTTCTACCCACCATGAGTATAATGGCCTGTACCATGTGTACTAGGGATAAGCAAAAAAGAATGTATTTTTGTGCAGAAACAGTGAGATGAATGCGAAGTTTGTAAACAAGGGCCTCAAGGTCGTCCATGTAATGGGAGACGTAGGTGTTGTAAGGTTGCTATGGCAAACTTGGTCGTTCGATCCTGGAGCTTCACACGTTCTTACCCTTGTTTTGGTTGGACAGGTGGTACAGGCCATGGTACTCATGGTGGGTAGAGTTGACGACTGCTTTTACAGTAAGTATACCATATGTCTACACATGAGAAAAGCAGTTCGACTATGCATTTACAAACTTACAAGAGGGCCCTGTTTGGTTACTTGCACTCGCTGGTGGGGGTTGGGCTTTCGCAAGAATCGGGTGCCATTGGAGCATTTTTTATCAGAAAAAGTGCCCAATGCGGGAATTGAACTCGGGTCGTAGCGGTCGAAAACCAACGGTTTATACCATCCTTCCAACGACCTTCATTCAAGAATTTTAACTTTATCACACATTATCTTTCTCTTTCCTAGAGATATTTTAGATTGTTTCAATATCTCTTAGAAAAAAGAAGTCAAGTCTGAAACTCTCTCAACAGTTTTGGTATTTTTAAGAATCTTGGCATTAGGAACGGAGAAGGAATTAAATACCTTGATTTAGATATTATAAATATACTAGAAAAGGTGGTGTAAAATTTGCAATAGTAAGGTGAAGTCTTTTGTGATAAAGTTAAGATTTACTGTAAAGATGGGCGATCTAAATTCAAGTTATAAATATCTGCAAATATTTACCCAATTTTCCTTAATTCTCTCGAACACCATATTTTCTCTCTTCTCCATGAAATATCCTAATTACTGCATGTTTGATGTTTGAGATATGTACAAAGATAGACACCACCAAAGATACTTCCAAGTTATGTTGAAACTGCAACGCTGCAAACACGTACCGCCGTGAGAATCCACACAGAGATAGACACCACCAAAGATGACACCTCCAAGTTATGTAAACGCTGTACCGCAATGTACCACCGAGAGAATGCAAAAAGAGATAAACACCACCAAAGAAGAGAGACACCTCCAAGTTATGTAAACGCTGTACCGCAATGTACCACCGAGAGAATGCACAAAGAGATAAACGCCACCAAAGAAGAGAGACACCTCCAAGTTATGTAAACGCTGTACCGCAATGTACCACCGAGAGAATGCACAAAGAGATAAACGCCACCAAAGAAGAGAGACACCTCCAAGTTATGTAGACGCTGTACCGCAATGTACCACCGAGAGAATGCACAAAGAGATAAACACCACCAAAGAAGAGAGACACCTCCAAGTTATGTAAACGCTGTACCGCAATGTACCACCGAGAGAATGCACAAAGAGATAAACACCACCAAAGAAGAGAGACACATCCAAGTTATGTAGGCGCTGTAACGCCATGTACCACCGAGAGAATGTACACGGAGATAGACACCACCAAAGATGACACCTCCAAGTTATGTAGACGCTGTACCGCCATGTACCACCGAGAGAATGTACACAGAG